AGTACTTGGCTAGAGGAGATGCTCAATACGCATTCGCTGAATTAATGAATGAGTGAACAACACTCCCTCCATGAGCTATTCAAGTTCTTGAAGACAATCTATACAATTTTATCAGTGAAGTGATACTACCAGGTACGGAGGTGTTACTCTGTTTGCTTACAAATAAATTTAGGTTGCTTGCAGTGTGACTTAATTTGAATCACATTTGTTTATGTAAGAATTGCTGCCCTGAGCAGGACTATTTGAGGGGCTATGAGGAACGCAATCCATCCAATGCTGCTGCTACTGTCGCCACCTAACACTTTTCCCTTCTCCCTTCCCACTGCTCCTGGAGACAACCTCCTCCTCGTCTTCACCTTTCTGAGTAAACCATCAGGCATACCTTTTTCTCTTTTCACTCAAGATCTTTCTTGGGTTTGCGTTTCCTTCCCACTGTCACCAAGAACTTCTTTTTCTCGTCTTTTCCTGCTAACATTTATGCTGTCTCTGTAAATTGCTGTTGTTAGTTGCCATTGGGGCAGTCTGACTCATGGCAACTTTATGTCTAATAGAATGAAACACGGCCCAGGATTGTGCCATTTTTAAGATTGTGGGTTGGCTTGAGCCCATTTTTGTGGCTATTGTGTTATTCCACCTCACTGAGGGTTTCCCCGCTTCCAGCTGATCCTCTCCTTTACCAAGTAAAGCAAATCCTCACAACTGACTGATAAATAATATCATAATAAATGGAGAAAAAATCAAAATTGTCAATGATTTCATTCTACTTGGATAAAAAATTCAATGCCCATGGAAGCAGTACTCAAAAAATTAAACCACATACTGCATTGGAAAAATCTCCTGCAAAAGACCTTTTTAAATTTTTAAAAAGTAAAGATGACTACAGGGCACCTGACGCAAGCCATGGTCTCTTTAATCACCTCACATGCATGTGAAAGCTGGAAAAGGAAAAAGGAAGACAGAAGTCATCGTAAGAGGCAAGCAGAAATGGTCCCTCTTTCCATTGCTAGGGTTGCTAGAGAAGATGTATTCCTGGTTTTCGAATTAAAAGAGGAATTTGTTTTACTAAAGAAAAAAGTGCTGACATCCTAGCAAGGCACTGGTAGCATGCTGTTGTACCCTATGTACCCCCTATGTACAACAGAGCGAAACACTGCCGGGTCCTGCACCATCCTCACAGTCATTGTTATGTTTGAACCCATTGTTGCAGACACTGTATCTATCCATCTCTTTGAGGGTCTTCCTCTTTTTTGCTGACCCTGTACTTTACCAAGCGTGATGTCCTTCTCCAGAGACTGGTCCCTCCTGATAACACGTCCAAAGTACATGAGACGAAGTCTTGTCATCCTTGCTTCTAAGGAGCCTTCTGGCTGTACTTCTTCCAAGACAGATTTGTTCGTTCTTTTGGCAGTCCATGGTACGTTCAATATTCTTTGCCAACACCATAATTCAAATGTATCAGTTCTTTGGTCTTCCTTATTGACTGTCCAGGTTTTGCATGCATATGAGGCAACTGAAAATACCATGGCTGGGTCAGGTGCACCTTAGTCTTCAAGGTGACATCTTTATTTTTAACACTTAGTTCTTTTGCAGCAGATTTGCCCAATGCAATATGTTGTTTGATTTCTTGACTGCTGCTTCCATAGGTGTTGATTGTGGATCCAAGTAAAATGAAATCTTTGACAACTTTAATCTTTTCTCTGCTCATCCTGATCTGCTTATTGGTCGGCTGTATTTTTGTTTTCTTTATGTTGAGGTGTAATCCATGCTGAAGGCTGTGGTCTTTGATATTCATTGGGAAGTGCTTCAAGTCCTCTTCGCTTTCAACAAGCAAAGTTGTATAATCTGCATATCGCAGGATGTTAATGAGTCTTCCACCAATCTTGATGCTGTATTCTTCTTCATATAGTCCAGCTTCTTGGATTATTGGCACTATTGTTCATGCGATATACCCTGCAATGATAGGAATCCACACTAAAGCCATGGGCAGGCCTCAACTTTCAATGAGTGTCATACACAGCCAACCTCAGGGCCTTAGGAGATAGAAGCCACCACTGCAGGACTGCTAGTGAGTGGGTTCTGATACTCTTCAACCAACAGGTCATACTCCACTGTAAGCTCCTTAAAGATATTATGCTTGAAGAATTTACAGGATTTCTGAGGAGGAATATTCATGAAAAATTATTGAACAAAATCATTGTAGAAAAAGTAATGAATTATGAACCACAGGAAGAAACTTTTCTAACTCCTCAGTTGTTTTACCTTAAACAAATGACAAACTTTTTGTGCCTCATTTTTTTTCAAACAAAAATGAACTGTTTGCATTAGATGATCAATAAGATCTTTCTAATCTCCAATATGTCACCACTCTGGAATGACATCTTCTGGTCTAAGTTTGTTAATGGTAACGAACTTCATTATTTTCTCTCTCAAAAATAAATAATTGGGGAGCTAAATTGGAATGTCTAAAAAAAGAGCTATGATGTTGTCAAATGGTATTTTAGTCCCTTCCTTTGGGTTACTGATAGCACCAAAACTAAAATAGTAGGCTAGGCATTAAACCTATCACTTAGAAAAAATCAGGAAAAAAAAAAAAGCAATTTATCAAAGACAAGTGGCTGTTTGGGTCCTTGTTTATATAACCCAGATTGATTACTAGACAGTTCAAAAAAACATCTGGATGTTTACTGTCACAAGGCAAATTACCTCAGCTGGAAAAAACTTGCAGTCATTAATACCGAACGTACCCCTTCTCCCTTCTAGAATTCCTACGGCCTTGACTTCTCTGCTACATGACACTGCAGTCAAACCTGGATGATTATTCTTATGAGCTCGCAGACAAACAGAAAATATAATTTATATTTAGTATTAAGAATGCTTTTAAAAGAGATTTCAACATGCGTATGACGTCTATTGCAAGAATTCAACGTTTATCAAACAAAATAATGAAGCCAACACAGTAATGACAGGTCTCAGGAAAAGCGTAGAAGCTATCCAGTTTCTCCATCACCACCCTCTGCTCATCTCTGTGCCCTCACTCTGTCCTTGGAAATGAGAATGCCAACTGTTGCCCAGACTGTGACGTAAACCAACTACCCAACAAAGGCTACAGCCTGCACCCCGGCCAAAGCTGGCTGTCTAGTAACTGCTGTGACCATAATGAAATATTTCCATTTCAAAGCCATGAACCAAAGTACTAGTGTGGTAATATATTTGAATAAGCTCCCTCAACTTTCTGCTTATCCTAATTTATGCACGCTTCAACTCGGTCCTTTCATTCAGTCACTCCAGTTCATATCGTTCACCACAATAATTGCTCTACCCTTCAAAAGCTGTATGATTCTGGTCAAGTTGCTTATCTTCCCTAATGCTTCTTGGGGGTGAAAAAAGAATATCTCAGTCCCTCTAAAAGTCAGTGGGTTTGTGGTTCTTCAATGCTATACAGAGAGTAGACAACTTGTGTTGAGTGAATTAAAAATTCTCAATATATTATTAGAGTCAGAATCTGATTATGTAAATGTTTAACCTCATAGGTTAAGTAATTTTATATAAAACTGTGAATACTGACAGAGGGAGGAAGATATCATGAGGATTTTCAACTGCTCTCTTCTTTAGCCCTACCGAGTAAGGGGACCTTCTTACATGCCCTGTATATTTCTAAGATACCTGAAATGTTCAGGTAAATGTTGGGTTTCCAAAGTTCTCCTAGTGATGGATTGACAGAAGGTGCTCCAGACCTCAACATGGGCATTATGCTACACAGCTCCCAGAGCTGTTTCAGGACTCTGACCTATGGGAGCAGGTTAAGCCTGGCTTAAGGAGAGACCTGGGATTCAGAACTAGCAGGAATGGGAAGATTTTCACACCTCTGCAAATTAGCACAAAATCAGCAGGAACGGGAACATTTTCACACCTCTGCAAATTAGCAGGGTACATATGATGCTCTTTGGAATTAAAGAAAAAAATCCAGTAGAGAATAAGTTATTTAAGGAGTTTAATTTGAAATGAAAAATAGCTAACAATTTCTGAGTATCTGTGTTATGTTAACAGCCACATTATGGTGTCAACAAAGTCATTAAAACTCTAGAAGGTAAGTATTCTCGTTATTCCCATTTTACAGATGAGGTCATTGAGGCATAGAGGGATTAAGCAGTTGCTCTAAGTCATCAGTCCTGTCAGACTGAAAGATCCTTTTGAAAAGAACTCAAAATCTTAAACTTTTTAAGACTAGCACAATTTGAGAACACGATTTTTTTTAAAAGGAATGTTTTTATATGTTTCAAGGAACTCTTCTACATTTACTATAGCCTCAGAAGTGAGAAAGCAACTATTTACATTTTCCTTAGAACAACATTCTTTTACAATTTCAAAATATCATGAAAATCTCTAAAGGGTAAGAACTCACCTCTGGGAAAATCAGTTTGCAAATACTCTCTGCCAAAGTGTGAAGATAGACTCGACTCCGACTAGTCTTTCTTTGAGGAAGATTTTCTTGAACGTTCTTCTCAGGGACATCCTGACAGATGGGTGGAGTTGCTTTGCAGCAATCTGAGCCTTCTGCATCCTCCTCTGCTGGCTCTTTTGGAAGCTGAGCTGGTGTCAGTAAGGAGAAAGGGCACTCCCCTGTGATCTTGAGATCCTTCAGCTTTGTGCAGAACATGGTGTTGGTGGCCTCTCGCCCTGCTGCAGA